AAAACCATTGAAGACAAATACCCATATTGAAGATCGGAAATGGCTTGCACATTTTGTTGCCAATTGGACTTAAGAAGATTTTCTTCATATGGCACCGTCGTATGAGTTTTATGTTTATATGATCAGAAAACCGAATCACCAAAATGATAGAGTTTGCCCAAAAAATATCGAAGACATTAGCAACGAGGAAAGATATCGTGAAATGGTTCAGAACGCGGCATATGTCGGAATCTCCGTGATGTTCACTGCAAAGAAACTCATGTGGGTATTGAAGGAGCAAGGGCAGTCTTGGGATGGAGTCTATTTTCGTGAAATTATCCTTCAAGAACATGTAATTCCCTTTCTTCGAGATCCAAACAATGTCCTCGATACAAATGAAGTCATATTCCTTCACGATGAGGCACCCTGTATGAAAGCCAATGCAACGCAACATCTTTTGAAGGATGAGGGTATCAAGTTCTGGGGTAATTCGATATGACCCGGTAACAGTCCCGACATGAACCCTGCAGAGAACATCGGTGCCATTATCAAAGACAAAGTTGAAGAACCGATGGCAAGTGAAGATCGTCAAAACAGATACAATTACGATATTCTCAAAACTAACATTGAGAATGCACTTAGGAATGTTGAAGATGACACAGATCTTTTTACTGACTTGCTGCGCTCGATGAGAAAAAGATTTGATGCTCTCAAAGCTGCTAGTAGCAGCTTTGAGAGCATCAAAAGAAAGCATCAATAAATCAAGACTGTCCACCTACACCCATATTTTCACCTTTACCCGATTCATAAAGTATTACATTTCGTTCAAATGAATCATCGCCAACGTCGCCGTTCAAATGGGGTACTCCAAAAATAAGAAAACGAAAAGCTACTGAACGAGACTCAATTGATGAATATATTGCAAGCAAACACCAAGCCGTAGAATCCAGCAGTTTACCGTCAAATCCATCAATTCTATACATATTACGTCCAAGAAAGCAAATGGAGCAGCTGGACGACAATTCTTCCTACTCATCTAATTCATCTGAGGATAATAGTAGCAACTTACCTACACCCGTATTAATAAGAAACACAAACTCAAACAAAGAAGAAAACGACCTTATTATCACTTATTGGAAATTAAAAAATAATATATCTGATCATGCCGTGAATAAACTACATAAAATCCACACGTCAATACCGAGCATTTGGTCGATAGGAAATGTTCGTAAGCGATTAAATAATAATATCTATGTGAATAATACAGAATTTGGTTCATATATTGCATTGGAAGATGCTATTAAAACTTTAATTTATACAAATGCCTCGACAAAAACAAAAATACGAAGAAATATTACAATACGTCTGTCTATTGATGGGACTCAAATAGGCGAAAAACTAAAAGTTCTGGTATTATGTATTAGTTGTACACAGTTTAATTCAAAACAACAAATTGCATCAAAATTATTACCAATAGGTTTATTTAAAATTGATATAGAAGATTATGAAACAGTCAAAAAAGTTATACCAAATGAAATTATTAGTAGCAAAATTCAAGGTCAAAAACTAATTATTAATGGTGAGCAGTTTTCCATTAAGTTCAAGTGAGTACTCTTTGTTAAATTGGTAATGCACGAAGTAACCGGGATATTAGTCTTTACAGATGAGCATATAACTTTTAATTCTAGATTGGCGTGTGACTACAAAATGTTGCTCATTTTATTTGGACTCAGTGAAGTTAGTGGCACATACTTCTGCCCATGGTGCAAAGTCACAACGGCAAACATTGATCAGTTAGGAAGCTTTTCTGCATTTAACGAATGCAAAGGAGCTAGAACTATGGAAGAGGCAAAAAAAGGATTGAAGAAGTAACTGAGAGTTCTGTTTACCTTCAAACTTAGACTCTAATCGATTAATGTCGTTTTTTGTAGGAATAGTGATAAACGAAGATATGGATATAAAAACGAACCAATATTTGGAACTAGATTTCGGTAAAATACACTTAATAGATAGACACTTATAGATAGAAGAGAAATCTGATCATCCCAATTGTTGTCCTTTTAGCTTTCAAGATGCAAGGTCCGATCTCTTTCATTGTGAGCATAGAGTATATGACATATTTATGAAATATATTATTGGGCTGGTGAATGAACAGTATGATATGTACAATAAAGAACAAGTCGAGCCCCTTCTTCGAGAATTACAGTCGATTTCAGAACAGCAAAAGGAAAGTAACATTTTATAATTTTAATTTATAATTATAGCAATATATCTCATGCCGCCTGTATTTGTGAAGACCTTTGAAGTTACAACGTAACTTTCTCTACATATATAAAGCTTTTACTTGAACTTTAGGAAATATTCTTCTTCAGAATTAGTTTTTCTGGTGAACTGATTTGCTTATGATGTTGATAGTAGTTTACGGACATAAATCTAAACTACCAATCAACATCCTTTGCTTCAAGTTCTTCGTCACACGTCGACCAAATTGCTATCTTATACATGAATATAGAAATAATACATTACTGGCTGCAGCAAAACATATCCAAGAAGTAAACGGTTTTCTTTTTGTATACTTCGCGGCTAATCCTTTGATATAATTAGGAACGATGTAAATAGTCGACTTACGTAAAAGACATGATTCTCAGCGTCGAAAATCTGCTATTCTTAATTATGACCCTTCTTTAGAATTACCGGCTATAGCTCCAGTTCTTAATTTTCAGGATCAAAAAGATGCTTTTCCCATCAAAAACCAATCTGAATAATCGTAGATATGATCACTTCGAATACCTATTATTTATTTATTTTATTTTTAGGCTTATATTAAATTTCAAATTAAAGATGGAAACTTAACCACAACAGGCAGAATTACAAATGGGATGGAGAGAAAGTTCTTCAATGAAATACCGTTAGGAAGAATTCTTTATGATAGCCCAACATAAACATTTGAAATAATGCATTTAATTAAACATTTTCATCAACTTATAAAATTATATAGTGAACGTCAACCAAATTATTTATATTTGCAAACATTAAAAACGGATTCAATAGGATGGGTTAAAGAGTTCAGCGGCATATTTGCAGATGCATATATTACACCATACATGCATGTGATAAGTGATCATATGCATGAATTTCAAGAACTGGATGAAGATGACGAACTTGCATGCTTTAATCTTCAAGGTGCAGAAAAGTATAATGATCTAAGTACAACCGATTACTTTAGATCAACAAACAAACACCACAATTCCCTAGCACAAATGATTACGGCGAATACATCTCTGGGGAAACACTATCAAATTTTAATATTATTCAATTTCACATTCTCTTCTAACAAAATATTTTTCTATCAGCATCATTTATCTATTGATAGCAACGATACCTATTCCGTCAGATTCACTACAAGAAAATGCTTTAATCTTAATATACAAACTTATACGTTGCTTTCTTAAATATTCAATTTCCCAATTAAAAAGGAAAAGCCAGCATTTCTTGAGTGGATAAAAAAATGCTCAGTATAACACTTCTTTTTATCAAAAATGTGTCTAAATAAGTCACTAAATTCTTTCCTGAAGATATTGGCCTTCTATCCCACAAATCGGACATACCTATTTTGGAAAAATGGCTTGCATAATATCGAATGGAATAGAATAAGAAATATATATCCTATAACTAATTTTATTTTCGTGAAACTGACATAGTATGGACTAAAGTCAGTTTGGATACTGTCTTTTGGGCCAAAAGGCCAATTAATACTTTTATGATAAGATAAAAGTTTGTCTTTTCTTACTTTTTCCTATAATTTTATTTATTTTATTTATTGACATGCGCATAAAAGGAAAAGGAAAAATGATAAGATGAAAAGAATGAAAGATGGAAGCGGTACCTTTTATTCTACGGTTGAACTAAATTTTCTCGTTTCTTGCTTATACGGTATAGAATTGCCATTTAAGGCAATTTCTCTTGTGTAACTAAGCAACAAAACAGGACTATACTTACTCAAAAACCAAGGGAAGCGTACTTATATGTTATAAAAAAGCTTTCAATCATCAAGAATCATGCTAGACACTGTCGCTTCTTCGAAAAAATTTTATATAAAATGAATATCTATGGAACCATCATATGTGTAAAGATGAAACTTTCACAAAATGTGTAACTAATAATCATAATTCATTTCTCAGAATTTCAGCCCGATCCGTCTGGCGCAAAATAAGTCGATTTTTTAATCTCTCTCATAATATAGAGGAGGTCATACAAAGTTCTGAAACTTTCTCAGAATCATGTACTCATGAAAAGTTTATGTTTCTAATAAACTGGAAACTCTAGTATCCATAATTTAAATCAATGAATGGTATGATGACACTTTGATAAACTTAGTATTGTGTAATCCATGATGTTTTTAATATGTTGTCCAAGATGTTTTATCAGTCCCTTAGACAACATTTACTCCAATCGCACTGGCAGATGCAGCTTTTGATGAGTTTTAATCTGGTATAAAAACTGGTAACATTACAGCTGGTGTTCCCCATACAGCTATGATGTTCCCCGTAGTATCAGTATAGCTGGTGTTTCCCATATCCATTTAGTGTTCCCCTAATAGCAGAAGATCGAGTAAAAAGTGTAGTTCAATGTTTTAATCGCAAAAATAACGAAAAAGAAAATCATGAAGTAAATAATAATGATTTTATGAGAAAGAAGATATGTCGAGCGTTATTTTTAATTGTTCTTAATGTGATAATCACATTGCAAATCAAACAAGAAACCCGCTGAGCTTATTTCGATAACTCGAAATGATCAGATGCAGAATCTATTACAAAGACTATGAAAGGTAAGTTAGATATGCCTGGAAAAACTGTATATATTAACAGTTCATATCAGTTAATAATCACAACTTCAAAATGACTATACCAATTCCAACCAACTTCCGTGAGTTTTATGCGATCCTCAATGACACGAAAAAGCTTCCGTTGTTCGTCAGTGAACAAAAGTTAGTTTTACAAAGTGAAGAACACGAGTGTCCCAAATGTGGCTCAGAAATGAGAGACGGAAAACGTCAGAAAACGCTCAAGAATGGTAAGTGATTCTTTCGCTTTCTAGCTGACATAATCGACGTTGCTTTATTTTACTTCTAGGTACCGTGTCAACATATAATATTACGCGATGCAAAAATAAAAGCTGTGCAGTTCAGTTAAGTAAAAGAAAAAACACTTTTCTTGGCTTTACGGATTCCTTGAACAGACCTAACTGTAAACTTAGTGTTTCAACTATTTTAGAAATTATATGGCTGTGGTGTACAAATATATCGTCGAAAACAATATCATGGGCAGCGGATCAACAGTTGTTGACTGGTCCAACTTTTTACGAGAAGTAATTGCTACTGTATGAACTATTTTACGATAACACAGATTGATTAATTATTTCAGGTATGTACAGAAAAACTTAATATGGCTCCACAAATGGGAGGCATTGGAGAAGTTGTCCAGATTGACGAATCACTTTTCCGTGGTAAGCGAAAATACAATCGTGGACGACTTTTACTTGGTAATCAAAATAATAATGGGAACAACAACACAACAACACCGTACGCATCCGGTAGTGAGGATCGCGATGGCACTCAGCAACAAACAAATAATCGTAATTATGGAAGACGTATGGATGGTAAGTGATTCTATCTGATCTAGTCTCAACTAACAAGCTTCATTATTTAAGGGCCGTGGATATTTGGTATCGCTCAACCGACAAAAGATGGACACGAGGTACGATTTTTCCATGTACAACGTCGTAATCGTCAAACATTAGTTCAAATTATATGGAAACATGTTGTACCTGGAACAACCGTATGGTCAGATGAATGGGCTGCCTACAAGAATCTACAAACGCAGTACGGATATGATCACCAAACAGTAAGTAAACCGATCATCATAACTGGAAGACTTGATAAACATTAACCTCAATTACAGGTGAACTATAGTCAAAATTTTGTTGACCCTCACACTGGTTGCCACACACAGTTAATTGAGTGCTTATGGGGTCAAGCAAAAACGAAAATACTAAGAACAATGTGTGACTCAACGTTATTAGATAGCCACTTAAACGAGTTCTGGTACCGCTTAGTCCACAAGGACATATTTGCCTCAATTATAGCGGATATTCGACAATTTCGTATGTAACGTTTTTATTTGTATTTTGTTTCATTTTGTTTTTTTCATTTTTTTTTTATAATTTTTTTCGTAAAAATAACGCTCGACATTATTATTTACTTCATGATTTTCTTTTTCGTTATTTTTGCGATTAGAACATTGAACTACACTTTTCACTCGATCTTCTGCTATTAAGGAAACACTAAATGGATATGGGGAACACCAGCTGTAATGTTACCGTACTATTTATAACGGCAGTGGGGGAACACCTGCTAAAAGAATACCTTAGTTGTCTGTCTGTGTGTATGCAGAAAACGTTTTAGGTTTATATTACATTATGCGCTTTTTTTATGGAATCAGAGAAGTTCGCAATATTTCTCAGCTTGCCTAGGTGCGCAGTGTTTTTAATAGGAATTTTTTTCGGAGTGGAACTTTGCACTTTACTGTTGGTGATAGGGTCAAAGTGGGATCTTCCACTTTGATATAAAATGTAGAGTGGACAAACTGGGAACAGTTGAAATTTTTTGCCCAATACCGGCTAAAAGAGATATTTTTTTATTGTCACAGGGGTTTTGTTTTATCACTTTCAGTTAAATGGACCGAAATGAACTTCTCTACCCTGATCAATTACAAATTTAACAACAAACATCTTAGATGACTCATCTAAAACAAAATGTAACTAAAACAATAGCTGGAAAGTGAACACTTCTGAAGAAAAAGAAACGCTGCAAAATTCACAATTCACTCGAAAAACATCAGAACGAGTTCGAAACCTCAGGATATTATGAATGTTGTCCCATAAATGTGACTATAAGATTGAAAAAATCGAAAACGCGTATTTTTGTTAATAGGTTTTCCAGTTCGGAAAATTCGTAGTCACCCGCCTTATTTTCCTTGGTTCGGGAGCTGTCGAGATCTTCTTCGCAACCCTCGGACTTCTCTAATCGTTGGTCTGGAACTTCCACAAATGTATGAAAACATCGGCTATCGACCATCTGAATCTCGTGGCAATTTAATTTTTAGAACAAAATGCATGAACCGGGTAAAATCTTGCACTAGGCGATATAACCCATTTTTGGCTATTTTAATCGAAAACTAAAATACTCAGAATTCAGCTAAAATCCGTCCAAGTTATTTCAGAATAATAAGATATACTCTATTTTATCTGCATGAAAAAGCTCAATAAATGTTTTAAAAACCAACAGAAAATGCTTCGGTCTCGGAAAGATTTCTGAGAAACATTTGGAACTAAGGGAACAGTTACTATATATCTTAAGTACAGAATCAGATTGAGCGAAAGAAATTAGAGTATATCTTGATATTCTGAGGTAGCTATTATTAATTATGTTTTAAAACATAAATAAGAATTTTGTATTTCGTGCGCAACCTGCTCGTGCATAAAATTCGTTGCCTGCAACGTTCTCGTCCGCATCTTTCCGTGCGCAAATTTCATAGTGCGCAAGTTTCCGTGCGCACCTTTCGTATACGCTTATTTCTAGCTTGAAAAAAAGAATGTTTTTTCTTATGTAAACCTGACCATATTTATAAAAAGTAAAAACATAAGTATACTGTCACTTTTCATCACGTAGTATTCTAGATGTCTCTTGAATAGGAAGTGAAAACTTTTATGTGACGTTTTTTGAAGAAGTAATTCTTGAGGGTATATACTGACAAAATATAATTAGATACCTGTATTAGAAGATTCAGAGAAAAACTTTTGAAAATTTAAACCTAAATGTTTGTTGAAAGATCGTTCTTCCACTTCAGATTCAAACAAAAATCAATCTAAAAAATATCAACTTTTGAAATTTTCTCGACAACACTTTTCATCTTTTTTGTGCATATCAGTTCTGTTATTGTGTTTATATTTCTATTAACATACATATTGTTCTTGATATTGATAAATATATTATCAAAAGGGCAAACTAAATAGTTTTAATAAAATGCGAATTAAATTACCGGTTGTAAGGTGCCGGTAATTCAAAAGGTTCGTGCCAAAAATGAATCTTATCGAGTTATACATGGTTAGATAGAGCTCGTCGAGCTGATCACGAATATCACCTTTGAGACCTTTAAAAGTTTTTTCGTCGGC